ATTCTAATTAGACCACATCCTCACCAACTCTTGTCGTTTGTTGATTTGTTGATGATAGCCACCTACCAGATGTGAGGTGGTACTGCATTGTCATTTTGATTTGTTTCTCTGGGTGACTGAGCACTTTTTCATATGCCTTCTGGCCTTCTATATGTCCTTTGCCTATTTTTCAATAGGATTGTTTATCTTCCTTTTGTTAAGTTGTATAAGTTTCCTGCAGATTTTGGAGATTAACCCCTTACTGATGTATCACTGGCAAATATGTTCCCCCATGGAGTAGGTATTCTTGTCATTTTATTGATGGTGTCTTTGCTTTGCAGAAGCTCTTTATTTTGATGTAGTCCCATTTGTTTATTTTTCTCCTTAGTTTCCATTGTCCTAGGAGATGTATCCCTAATTGTATTGCTATGAGAGATGTCTGAGATTTTGCTGCCAAGGGTTTATTCTAGGAATTTTATGGTTTCACATCTTACATTAAATCTTTTATCCGTTTTGAGTTTATTTTTGTGTATGGTGTAAGTTAGTGGTCTAGTTCCATTTTTTGGCATATATCTGTCCAATATTCCCAACACCATTTATTGAAGAGACTGTCTTGACTCCATTGTCTGCTCTTGCCCCCTTTGTAAAATATTAATTGAGCATAATGGCTTGGATGAATTTTTGGGTTCTCTGTTCTGTTCCATTAGTCTATATGCCTGTTCTGTGCCAGTACTAAGAATTCTGTGCCTCAGTGTTAGGAGTACAGTGGCTTTGTAGTATAACTTGAACTCTCAGAAAAGGAAAACAAACAAACAACCCCATTTTTCATTGCAACAAAAATGTCGATACTTAGAAATAAATTTAACCAAGGAGGTATTGTAAATGACCTGTATTTGGAAAATTACAAGACATTGAAAAAAGAGATAGAAGAAGATATACTCAAGTGAAAGAATATACTGTGTTAATGGATTGGTAGAATCAACATCATTAAAATGTCCATAATACCCATGGCAATCTACAGATTCGATGCAATCCCTATCAAAATACCAACAGCATAATTCACAGAGCTAGAACAAATTCTCCAAAAATTTATATGGAATCAAAAAGACCCTGAATAGCTGCAGCAATCTTGAAAAAGAAAAAACAAAGTTGAAGAAATCAAAATACCAGATTAATGAATGTTAATTCAGTCAATTTAAGACTAGTCTCTTTGTGTTATTGATTGCCATATAACAAGCCATTTTAAAGCTCATTAATATAAAACACAGGAATTTGGACTCTCACTGCAAGGATGGCTTATCTCTGCAACACCATCTGGAGTCTCAACTGAAAAAATTCAAATGACTGGGGGCTAGAATTATCTGGAGATTCCTTTACTCTTGTCTAGCACATGGGGTGGCATGGTTTGAAGACTGGGCTCATCTGGGATTGTCAATCAGAGCCTACACCTGGCTTTCTCACGTGCATTGAGCTTCTTCAGAGTGTGGCAGCCTCTGTGTAGTCGGACTCCTAACACTAAGGCACAGAATTCTAGATGCAAATATTCCAGTAACCAAGGACAGAAATGCAAGACCTTCCTGACCAAGCCTCAGAAGAGACATAGCTTCATTTACATTGTACTCTCTTGACTGAAATAGACATAAACCCATCCTGATTCAAGAGGGAGGGACATAATATAATTGTATACCTCTCAATGGGAGATGAATCATAGAACTTGTGACCATGCTTGAAAATTGCCTAAATAACTACATGAGAATACTTCAAATGCCAGGAACTCTTTGTGTGCACACTGAAAGACATTTTATAGAAGTTTCCCCGAATTTGGAAATGATCCTTAAAAAGTTCTTTTGCCATTACTAATAAAGAATGATAAAGCTGAAAATCTTCATAATAAAATTTTCTAATAATAAAATTCTTAATAATAAAAATTGAACTTTTACCAACTATCTTAAAAGAAAAAAACTGAATAACTTTTCTGTCTTTCTAAAAAAAAAAAAAAAAAAAAAAAAAAAAAGGTCAATCAAATAGAAATGCAGTCAAAGCATAAGAAAAACACTACACAGACAGGTTAACAATAACATGAAAATATACTTTTTTGAGATTTTGGGATTTTTTTGGTATTTATCTTCTCTTTATAAATCAGTATCTATTTTGTACCTAATTTTTTTTAAAAATTATTTATTCAGTTATTACATTTGTGTTCTTAAACCCCATTACCTCTCCAGCTTCCCACTCATGCAATGGAATAGAATAGAGAACCCAGAAATTGACCCAAATCACTATGCTCAATTAATATTTGACAAAGGAGGCATGAATATACAATGGAGTCAAGACAACCTCGTCAAAAAATGGTGCTGGGGGAAATGGACAGATACTTGCAAAAAAAAAAAAATGAAACTAGACCACCAACTTACACCATAAACAAAAATAAACCCAAAATAGATAAAGGATTTAAACATAAGATGGGAAATCATAAAAATACTAGAGGAGTCCACAGGCAGCAAAATCTCAGACATATCCTGGGGCATGAGTGTACCTAATTTTTTAAAATAATGTCTTAACTTCCATTGATTTCAGAGATGAAGGGAGAAGGAGAGAGAGAGAAAGAAACATCAATGATGAGAGAGAATCACTGATTGGCTGCACGCCTCCTACTGGGGATTGAGTCCACAACCTGGGCATGTGCCCTTGACTAGAATCAAACCCAGGGCCCTTCAGTCTGCAGGCTGACACTCTATCCATTGAGCCAAACCAGCTAGGGCTGTACCTAATTTTTACCAATAATTGAATAAGCTTCAGGCCCCTGTATCTTCCAGGGTCCTTATTTTCATGATGTCACTCTTTGCCTTCCCACACCTCTTTGGCAGTTCCTTCTTACCCTTTACATTTTTCTCTCTCTGCCCTGCCCCCCATTGATATCAGTGACCCAAGATTCTGAACAAAAGCCTTTTGTCACCTTATTTGACAATTCATTGTTGGCCATCTCACACTATTATTTCAGTCACCACCTGTAATCTAACAACTCCTAAATGTGTGTGTAGTTGGGACATTTAACAAGCCGCATGCCTGGAGTATAATCACATGACAGCTTTATGTTACTAGCCCCTGCCCCTTTAAACCTTATCACTGTGTGGTGAGCTGCTCCAGCTATCAAAAGTTTATGCCAGTCATGAAATCCAATGTCCCCCAGTTTCAGAACACACATAGAAAGCTCCCCTTGTGGATCCAATGAAGCCCCTCCCACCGCACAGTGGGTTTACCTCCCATCACCACCACCACTACTTTGGGTAGAGATAAGAGAGGAGACTCACAACTCGGCTTTCCCCAAAAACTTTCTCTTGCAAGTCCTCTCTGCTTTCATCTCCTGGTGTTCTCAGATGCTTGGGGTTTCAGTGGAAGCTCTAGCACCCCTTTGGGAATGCAGCATGGTGAACTGACGTGATGCTTCTGCTGAAAGGTCAGAATGGGTATCAGACTCCAAAACTGAACTCCAACTCTCAATCTTTTGACCCCTCCATGTTTGTTCACTTAGTCAGCCAATATAGAAACCTGAATTATTCTTTTTTTATAAGCTTTTTTAAAAATATATTTTATTGATTTTTTTACAGAGAGGAAGGGAGAGAGCCAGAGAGTTAGAAACATCGATGAGAGAGAAACATCGACAAGCTGCCTCTTGCACACCCCCTACTGTGAATGTGCCTGCAACCAAGGTATATGCCCTTGACCAGAATCAAACCTGGGACATTTCAGTCTGTAGGCTGACGCTCTATCCACTGAGTTAAACCAGTTTCGGCTAGAAACCTAAATTATTCTAACACCATTCATCACCAAAACTGAGCACTTACAACCTCAAAAATTTACCCACTTTTTTCTTATTTTGGATCAGGAACCTATCTTCTCACCTGGTCTGTTACAAATTCTTAATTATTTGCTCATTCAAGTAAACATTTGGGGATCTACTATGGATATATATCCAATTATTAAGATTAAAAATCCAATCCCTTCAGAACTTCATAGGCTAAATGGAGAAAATAATAAGCCAACACTTATAATATAATCTTATAAGTCCTGGATGGCAAGACCTTTGTCTATTTTGTTCTTTACTGTGCACCCAAGACTGTAGCAGGATCTGGTACATAATAAAAATTAAATGAATTAAGGAATAATGTAGCATTTGGACATAGATGCTGTCAGAGCACACAGTCAAGTCCCATGAGACCCCAGAATGAGAAAGAAACCAAGAAACACAATGCTTCAGCTAGATTTGGATACTGGCAACTATTCCTGGCCAAGTAAATAGAATATAGAAAGGCACGGAAACAAAAACAAAAACAAAACAAAAAAAGAGCATGGGACAAGTTGGAAGCTACAAACAGTTCATTATGGCGTGTGTGTATTGTGAAGGAAGGAGGGAGGAAATTATGCTAAAGATTTTGATAAGAATCAGATAATAAAAAATATCCCATGTCATGCTAAGGAATTTGACCTAGAACTTGCAGGTGGTAGGGAGTCATTGAATGGCAAGTCTCAGCTCCTTCACTGAGAAGGCTTCCTCTGGAGCAACGGTGAGGCTGAATTGGAGAAAAACCAGAGTGTAGATAGAGATGCCAGAGAAATGACAATAATATTTGGGGGTTTTAAATATTGAAATAGAATAAATGTTATTCCTTTCTTTCAGAAATTACTCCTTAGCCACAAGTAGAATGGGCAACAGAAACAACATTTCATCAAACTGTATTTAAGGTTATGACAAAGGTTCCCAGAGGCGCTGAATGTTACGCTGAGGGACACTGTGAGGGAGATAGATGTCTGCAGCTGCACCTCAAACAAGGTCACAGAGTGACATTACCCAGTACAGGGGATGCTGCTGAGGGGACACTAGCAAGACCTTATTTGCAATAATGGCAAGTGTGTGCATAGACCGACAGAAAGGCTTTCCCTCAATACAGAAGAAAACTGGGGGGAGGGGGGAGGGGGTAAGAGGGGGAGGAAGGGGACAGAATAAAGCAAAAACACAAAAGCACTCTACTCACCCAGAATGACCCGTGGTGAAACAGAGGCATTCGATGGATTTTGTATGATAAGCAGTCTTGCAGAGGCTGATCCTTGTTGACTGGAGAAAAGAAAAAGACAGAAAGAAATCACAGATAAAACTTGAATCACAAGGCACTTTGAATAAGCATTGACATTTATGAGCAAAATACAATCAATACAAGGAGAGTAGGCTAATTATTAGTAGCCAACATTTTATTTTACCTCTCTCTGTCCATGGAAAATCTAGTGGGGGGAAAAAAATAGAGATAAGAATGACATAAATAACAAAATTATTAAGGTAACATAATTATTATTCAATTAATAGAGACCCAACTTTATATCCTAAGACCAAAGAATGCACTTTTTATAAAGCTAGTAGCACTTTCTTAAAAATTAACTATATATTATGCCAGAAGAAAACTTCAATAAATTTCAAAAGGTGGGAGTAATAATAATTGATAATCTCTGATCAAAAACAATAAAATGTTTAATGTAAGTCAGAAACCCTACTGTATGATTGTATAATTTAGCACAAAAAGTAATATAGGCATAAAAGTTATGATGGCCTAAAATAAGACAATGAGAAACAATAAAGAATCAATTGATAAAACTATGTGGTGATCAGAAATGGGAGCTGAAAAAGATGACGTTGTCTATAGAAATTTCTAGGCTTTTCAATTGGGAAATGGGTGGATCACTTTGTCATTCATTAACATTAGAGGTACCTTAGGTGAAATAGCTTTTGAGGAAAAAATGAGTTCATTTTCAGTCAAGTTGCTTTTGAAATGCCATCTAGACTTCAGTGGATAAGTTGGAACAGGCAGCTAATCTTTTGCACTGGCTAAGTGACAAGGGATTTATTTGAGATCCCTCAAAATGACTTTGAATAAAAAGATAAGAAGACACAAGAGAAAACTCTGTGGTTCACAGATGCATAAAGAGAAGTAGAGAGCGAAGATTTAGGGAAAGTGACCCAGAGTCATGTTTCTCCTTTCATAGCATTTATCACATTTGTATGGTTTTATGTCCATATTTCCTGCTATATTCTAAGCTTCATGAAGATTAGGATCCATGTCTATAATAGGCACATTCTGAGCCTGGATTAGAGCCCAGGAAATAGTAGGTGATCAATAAATATTTATTGAATTCATAATTCAAATAATGCGTTAATCCAAAATATCACCTCCATGTCAACCCCTTCGTCTCTTTCTTCCTGCTCTACAAATCAATCTGATCTTTTGTCCCTCTTTCTGTCTCAAACATCCAGCCTTCCTCTTTTTGTTAGCTCTTCTCTTTGTTCTGTGGAAAATCTCTAAGAAAGGATAAGCTGCATAAAATAGCAATCTTTACAAATACAGTGACCAAAAGGAAACTGAAAAATTAATATTGGGCCGAAACCGGTTTGGCTCAGTGGATAGAGCATCAGCCTGCAGACTGAAGGGTCCCGGGTTCGATTCCGGTCAAGGGCCGTTCCTTGGTTGCAAGCACATCCCCAGAAGGGGATGTGCAAGAGGCAGCTGATTGATGATTCTGTCTCATCAATGTTCTAACTCTCTATCCCTCTCTCTTCCTCTCTGTAAAAAAAAAATATATATATATATATATTTTTAAAAAAAACTAATATTGGGTCAAGTGGACCCCGCTGGCATACCAGCAGCTTAGATCAATAGAGCAAAGCAGTTACAGTAAAACTTCACTTTATGTAATCACTAGCTTCTTGGAAACTGCAGCTTTAAGCAAAATGATGTATAACAAAAATCACTTTGCCATGGGCCAAACTGATCTGAACAACACTTAAGTTCTTATAGCATATTTCTGGTCACAGAAACATCACCAAACAATCAAATAAGTGTGTGCAGTACATACACTTAAGAAAAATTAATAAAAATAAGTAAGATAATGATTTTCCAACCTATTTGTCCCAGTTCAAAATGGCAAATGGCCAGAGCCATATCCAGACAGTTCAGGGCACAGGGTAGAACCCCTTCCCTGGATAAGCTACTATCCACCGCAGGGCACACTCGCACTCACACCCACTAAATTGGGGCAATTTAGACAGGCCAGTTCACCTTACACGCCCATCTTTAGGATGTGGCAGAAATAGAGCTCCTGGAGAAAGCCACGCAGACAAAGGCCAGGGATCGATTTTATATTTTCCTCATCAACGTTATAGGGAAACAACATTGAATGAAACGATGTTATCTGAGAATCTGCTGAACTTCTCAATTGTTTTCAGCTCATATTACACACAGAAAACAACTCAGCACACTGGGGTAAAGGAGCCCATGACTGCTGGAATCCATGGGCAGCAGGCCTATCAGCTATCTGTAAGGCACAGGTTGGGAAGCTCTCTACAGCCCTCCTTTAAGGCTTGCTCTCCATTTGGAATACTGTTGTTCCCACAGTATTACAATATCTGTGAGCATAGGTCCAGATCGTTTATTCTGACAGACAGTGTAGGGTAGTGGTTAAGAAAAGATGGCCTGTGTTTTAATCTATTTCTGCCACCCTTTAGGTGTGTGATCTTGAACAAGTTACTGAGCCAGTTTCCTCTTTAAAAAAAAAAAAAATGGACTGGTGCTCTATATGGTTGCTGTAAAGATTAAATGATTAAAGGAGCTAATATACCTAAAGTGCTTAGAATAGAGCTTGACAATAAGAAAATATGGTACTATTACCCAGTTAATCATTTAATAGGAAAGATTTTCCTTAGCTGCTTTGACTCAGTGGATAGAGTGTCGGCCTGCAGACTGAAGGGTCTCGGGTTTGATTCCAGTCAAGGGCACATGCCCAGATTGCGTGCTCGATCCCCAGTAGGGGATGTGCAGAAGGCAACCAATCAATGATTCTCTCTCATCATTGATGTTTCTATCTCTCTCTCTCTCTCCCTCTCCCTGCCTTACTGAAATCAATAAAAATGTGTGGGTTTTTTTGTTTTTGTTTTTTAAAAAAAAGGAAAGACTTCATCTTATAATAATTCACAAGAGCCTAGATCATATTGTTTTGCTAAAAGGATGAATAGTTTCTCATTATTTATAATGTTCAGGCACCAAAATTTACTTGATATGATTCACAAATGAAAAAATGCTAGTGCAGCTGTATATACAATGTTAATTGCAAGAAAACATCTGATGGGTAAATAAAAATTCATTAAAATAATCTTCCTAACTGGTGTTTATAAATCTAAAAAAAATAAATGTTTTACAATTATGGAAAAAAGAAGATAGCAATCTTCTCTTCAACAAAATTAAATCAGCAAAGTTTTCAAAAGAATTTCATTTGGACCATGAAAATGCTATTTAAATTCTAATTAAAATCCTTAATATAGCTGCTCACAATCTCCTTACTCATATTTTTGTAATTTTCTTATTAATGTGCCTAAAGATATTTTTAATATTTTAACATAAATATTAATGACAGGATTAAATTCAGGATCTAAAATTTAATAGATTCAGGCTCTAAAAGAAAAGAAGAAAATGGAAATATTTTCTCCCTAGGGTTGATTGTATTGCTGTATTTAGTGTATTGAACAATTTAATACAATACTATAGAAAATACTAAAAATAAATCTAAGTTTAGACAACAAAAAGAGAATAAATCATGAGTTCAGAGACTAATCTGAGGATATGAAATGACTGAATAAATGCCAATTGTGATTGAATTATGATTTCATGCAAAGTCCCATTCTAGCCTATGATTATAGAGACAACTAATCTCATAAACTCAATTGAGCCTGAATAGTTTAAGCAAAGAAAACTCCACTTGAGGAGCTCACTAGGGCCCATCTATTGAACTTTGTGATAATATTTATAGACAATGTCATTGAATTAAAGCTCACAAAGTTTTTTGCACATAAAACTATCCTATCTAATAAAGAGAAAATATGCTAATTGACCATCCCACCCTCACAAAGATGGTGGCATCCACAGCCAATAAGGAGGGAATATGTTAATTGACTGCCACACCTTCAGAGATGATGGCACCCAGACCCCTTAGCCCTGCTGGGGCAGTAGGCACGTGGCACAGTTGGGCCTACCCCCAGGCAGGTCCAGCCACTCCACATGCCTACCTCCAGAGTCCCCCAGTCCCCTCAGCCCCCCAGCTACCAAGGCCAACCCAAGGCATAGGCAAGCCTTGGTTGTCAGCTGCCCAGCTGCCCAAGGTGGGCCCAAGATACAGGCAAGCCTCAGGTGGCAGATGCCCAGGTAACCAGGCCAGCCAAGGCTTGCACTGCCAGCAGTGGCAGCTGCAGAGGTATAATAAGGCATCAACTTCCCCTGATCACCAGGTTGCCTCCCATCCCTGAGGTCTCCCAGACTAGGAGAGGAGGGGCAGACCAAGCTGAGGGACACTCCCCTCCAGTGAATGAATTTTCATTCACTGGGCCTCTAATATATATCATTATATATAAATTACCTTCCTGAAGTAAGGGTATAAAACCTTTATAATGTAGAATTCTAATGTTAAAAGGTAAATTTTATCCTTCCTCTCATTTAAATAAAGATATATATCTGCCAGCATTGTTCATTGTACTGATGAAAGCAATTTCACCTGTCTTAAGGAAAGGGAATTTATTGAAAGGATATTGTAGGCTCAGAGAACAATGGAAAAGTGAAGAGGCAAGTTCTAACTTTCACTAAGATGATAACCAATAATGTGGGAATATTAGGAGAGAGGATTTCTTGAAAGAAATTTGGAATACTATTCAGGAAAATGTCAAGGCAACTATTATTAATTAAAAAGAGAATCTATCATGTTGGAAGAGGAAAGTAGTGAAGGCTAGTTTAGAAGACATTCTAAGTATAAAATCGGTAATTTCAGGAGACCGTATGCGAGTCCTCAGGATCTCATAGAGAATCAGACTAATGAGAAGTAAACTGCAGAAGGCTTGGACCTTTGCCATTTCCCTAATGGAGTGAGTCAAGAACACCCCAGAGTCCAATGGAGGCTGAACTATGCATGCATCACTCCTAATTTGCTTGTGGTGAAGCCACTAGCTCAGGATAATTATATTATAATAAGAAAATCTACTTGGAAAGGGATAACACACACTAAAAAATCTTGCTCTCCATCCAGCCTTTCTTATTTCATTGAAAGTGTCCCTATCCTTCTAGATGTTCAGGTCAAATTTATGGAATCAACCTTGATTTCTCTCACTCTTTCACACCCTGCTGACTATACCTTCAAATCATATATCCATGACCTCATCTCTTCTCACCACCTCCACTGGCTATGTAGGTCTGAGCCAACATTATTTCTCCATTGCAACATTCTCTTAACAGGTCTCTCTGCTTTTAACCTTACTCTCACCTCTGTTTCCTACATGGCCTATTCTTAGCACCATTACCAAAATAACTTTAAAAAAAATAAGTCAGAATATGTCTTTCCTCTGTTTAAAGCCTTCTAAGCACTCAAAAAGTCTGGTATTCTTACAGTGGCCTAATGGGTTCCACAGGCTGCCCACGATTACTGCTTCTCCTGTCACTTTGTCCCATGCTCACACTACTTCCCAGCATACTGGCCTCTGGCTCACACACACCAGCGATGCTCCAACCTTGTAGTTTTTGCTCTAGTAGTTCCCTCTGCCTGCAATGCTCTTCCCACAGATGTCTCCCTTGCTAATTTCTCACTTCCTTCAGTCTTTTTTCAGATGTCATTTTCTCAATAAGGCCCACCCTGACCACCTTATTTACTATTGCAACCACCCTGCCCTTACCCAAGTCTACTTTTCCTGTGCTCACAATATTTATTAACCTATAAAATTCTATATAACTCATTGTTATTATTTATCATCTCTCTGAAACTATTAGAAATTAAGATATAGGAGAGTAGAAATCTTTGTCTTCTTTGCTCAAAATGTAGCCCGCAAAAATATTGCAAATATTTTTATTTATCTATATGATTCTCAAAAATATCTGCCAAATGAATGAAATAAATAATAATAGTATTTAGCAACAGGTGAATGAGTTATTTTGACCTTGGAGCAGGATTTACAAAGAGGGTGAATGGGGTTTGTCACAGACTAAGCATGAGAACATAAGTAAAATAATGTGAGTAAAAGGCTTAAATTGAGCTTGTGTATTGGGTAATATAGGGCAAAGTTCAAAGGGACCATCCTTTTATAGAAAGAGATAATCTTTATTTCTATATGAAGGACCTTAGATTAGAGTAATTATTTTGGTCTTTCTCAAGGTAAAGAGGAGGGAGTTATCCAATTCTTATATTTTAGTAGGGAAAAAGTGTACATGCATTTGTTTCCTAGAACTACAGTAACAAAATACCATAAACATGGCAGCTTTAAAAAAACAGAAGCATATTCCCTCATAGTTCTGAAGATCAGATCCAAAATCATGGAGTTGGCAGATCCACAATCTCTCTGAAGGCTCTAAGAAAAAATCATTGCTTGTCTTCTCTACCTTCTGGTGGCTCCATGAGGTCCTTGACTTGTAGCTGCATGACTTCAGTCTCTGCCTAGTGCTTCTCGTGACCTTATTCTCTGTGTTTCTAGTTTCTCTTCTTCTGTCCCTTTTAATGACACTTGACATTGGATTCAGAGCGCACTCCGATAATGCTGGATAGTCTCATCTCGAGATCCTTAACTTGATCATTTACACAGACTCTTATTCCAAATGAGATCATATTCACAAATTCCAGGGATTTAGATATGGACACATCTTTCAGGGGCCACCATTTAAGCCACTACAGTAGGTATCCCCAGGTTAGCATCTCTTCTCCCAGGACCCCTGCATTTAGGGAAAGTGGTTTCCTCTGTGAGAAAGCCCTGTGGCTGTCACCTTGGACCAATGATAGACTAGTTCCAATAGGAACTCCAAGCCTCAATATCTGTGCTTTGTGGATGTCTCCAGGTGAAAGAATGTTTTGCTTTTATTACTTTTCAGCAAGGCTTATACTAATTCATGTTAAATAATAAGCAATATAAAAATGCTGATAGACTATTCTACCTTTTTGTGTTCTATGTCTGTAAAATTCAGTGTGTGCTTTGCACTTAGAGCACACCTCAATGCTGATCAGCCATATTACAAGGGCTCAGCAGGCACAAATGGTGAGTGGTTTCCATGCTGGAAAGCACAGGCCTAAAGAAATGTCTAGAGCATAGTCAATACTGAATAAGTATTATTAAATAAATAAAGGATTGAACAAAGTATCCTAGCTGGTGCAATGGCTACATAGAATGAAACCCTCAAGAGAGAAAAGAAAAAAAAAAGAAGTCACTCAATAAGGGGAGTTGTGCTGACTTGCAAAGAACAATGATAAAAGACCCCTTCAAAATCTATCTCAAAAGACAGAAAGAACTCAGTCTTACAAAGTTAGGGGCAGAGAAAATTTCTTGAATACCATTTTTTGGGGGGGAAGGAAAAGCCAAATATAGTGTGATATTGGCTTGGAGTTAAATATTGACCTTAATAGAGCTTATTTTTAAAGAATGACCCTTTTTTATCCTATAACTCTTTCTACATTTGAAGTCATAAAACTAGAGAGCTTGATTCCTGTAAATGTGTACTCACAAACATGGACTTAGGAAGAGGCTTCACCCAGCAAAGACTGTAGTCCAGCTGTTGGGGAAGTCTTCATGCAACTTTTTTATGTTCTTAAAAAAAAACTAAACACACACACACACACACACATACACACACACAACACAAAACAATCAGAATTCATGGGTTTGTCTTGCAGATGCTGGAAAACATCTTCTGCTCATAGGCCTCAAATGCACTGGTGTAAATTAAAACATGAAAGGTAGTCCGTGTCTTTATGGCCTTGATTACCACCATGCTCACCCCCTGGGGTCTTGCATGGCCATTTCATAGTTTCCCAAGCCTGGCATGTTTACTTAATGCTGGGGACATGATTTTGTAAATTAAGCCCTCTGACACAAACACACCATTAGCTCACTCTAAATTGGATGATCACTAATCTCTCATAATTTACTGTGCATGAATGCTATAGCACTTCTTGAAGTGCCAAAACAAACTGTCAACAGTTTTAAGATATAGCAGCCCATTAATCTATGTAAACCAAGTCCCAGGATTTTCCTTTCATTAGCATTATGAATGAGGAAGCAGCTTCACTTTCTAAATTCTCCTACTGAATGGGACTTCTACCTTGAGCCACTGGCCCAACCTGCTCTCCTTTCAAAGTGGCATTTAAAACACGATTTGTTACTGAGCTTGGGTTTTCCAGCCAAAAGCCTCCCCACATAGTGAAATAAAGTAATACTGAGTCATGTCAAACAATTTCTGCTTTGGTATAACCTTAAGAGAAAGAATTTTGAAGAAACATGTGAAGTCAGAAAGAGAAAACATTCCTTACAGATAATTTCCTTTATGAAGTTAATAGAAAGTTAAGACCCCAGTATAGACTATAAACTGTTCAAAAGATTATCAATCTTTATCATCACATTTGACTTGGGGGCGGGGGGGGGGGGTGCAGACGGAAATCTTGTTTTGTACAGCTTAATTTCCCCTCTAAGATCAATGAACGCTTTTACCTCTCAGAGCAATTGTAATAAAATATTTCTTTGAACTCTAATAAATCTGTACTTTGATGCGAGATTTGAGAATACACAGTATTAATTGAACTATCACCAGGAAGCCTACATCTTGTAACACAGTTGTGTCTTCCTCCAGGCTATGAGGGTCCCTAACTAGCCAGCTGCAGGACAGATTTTTCCAAACAGAGCAGATGATGAGCTGACAAATATTCCAGTGGTCGCATTGTGTTGAATGTGATCTTCATTTCTTTTATTCTTTATTTTTGCTTAGAGGCCAAGTCAGTGCTCATCCATTAAATGTTAATGTTTTTCATTATTTAGAAGGCAGAGTCAGTAAGGCAGCCTGACTTGGGGAAACCTTCCTTTAAAATGAAGATAATGTCTCAAACCGTTCCAGCTTCTATATATGTGAAAATTATTTACATATTATATGAGGGATCCTAAAAAACTCAAATATCATACTTTCAAATACAACCATTTTATGATTACATTTCTATTTTATCTCTATATGTTTAAATGCCTCTCTCTTCAAAATGCATTTCTCATGCTCATTAACTCTGCTTCCCTTATGGAAAATTCAGGATATGTAACTAATTTTCTGCACATATTTTTTATTTTTATACTAGAATGGTTTTATAGCTAGAATGGTTGCATTTTGCCCACAAATTGTCTTAAAAAGAATAGAAGTGTCTTGTCAAAGATTTTTCAGTAATGCAGTTATTTAATGGGCTTTTACCCACAGCCAGATATACTATAGAAGCAAAACAATCTGTAATGAAGAGGAAATTTTGCATATTTTTAAAATACATTTCAACCTAATTAGTATGTAGTTTAAAATGATTTTTATGGTATAAAATTTGAACTATAATTTAAATTTAACTTTTTGAAGTTTGAGATTTACTGATCTTTTTTTTCTCTAGAAATAAAACATTTTTAAACTTTGGCTATTTAATAAATAACAGGAACATAAATTATTCATATACATGTATATGTTTGGTGTCAAATATCAATAGACTCACTTTATAGCAAATGCTCTATACTCTCCATCTTTTTGTCTTTTATACTCTATCCTCACATCCTTCCCTCTTTCTCACCTCCTTACCCTGTAGATTGTTTTAAATTCCAGCAAGTTTCCCCACTTCCTGTCAAATTTTTCAGCACAAATATCTAAGAGCCAATCTTGGATTGAGGAGTCTACAAAATTATGGATTCTTTTTTGAGAGCTTAGGGGAAAAGTTTATAAACATTAATGCAACCACACTAATAAATTACATTCCACATGGTTAATAAATTGTGATTAGCATTATTTTGAAAGAAAATGTAGACAGAGATGGAGAGTCTGAGAATCCTCCTCTGTAGAGGTAAAATGTAACTAAGCTGGGACCTGAAAGATAAGCCAATTTCTGTGTTCACGATCCTCAGAGTTGGAAAACCAGACCAGTAACACAGTGATTAAATGTTCTGTCAACTAAGAAAATAACCTTCATAACGTTACTTTCAGCAGGTCGCATTTTCGTTCAGAGTGCCTCAGGGGAGTATCACAAAATGTAACGCACTGTTGGTTCACAAACTATTTGGCAAACCATATAATACTGCTGATATCTGAACATTTTTTACCTATAACCACCCAAAATAGGGAAATGAAACCCCTCCTACAGTCCATTTACTATATGCCTTTCATCCCAACATGACTGGGACTATAACACCAGAAGCGCCTGTGAAAATTCTCTGCCTTGTACAATCTCAATTTAAAAACACCTACTTGGCCCTGGCCAGGTGGCTCGATTGGTCCGGAGCATTGTCCCATACACCAAAGGGTTGCGGTTTGAGTCCCTGTCAGTGCATATACCCAGATTGTGGGTTCAATCCCCAATCAGGGTGTGTACAGGAGGCAACCAATTTGATATTTCTCTCTGACATCAATGTTTCTCTCTCTCTCTCTCTCTCTCTCTCTCTCTCTCTCTCTCTCTCTCTCTCTCTCTCTCTCTCTCTCCTTCTCTTTGTCTCTCTCCTTCTCTCCCTTTTCACTCTCTAAAATCAATAAACATATACTCAGATGCAGATTTTAAAAAAAACAACTGTTTAAAAACACCAACTTGTCAAATTGCCAAAGGTATACTAGTAAGCATTACACAGTGACCTGAATTCCAGAAAGAGTTCATAGTTTCCAAAGGAACTTAATTCTTCCATCTGGAAGAGAAATTTTGTTGCCCACTTAAAGTTCAGAATAATGATTGACACTTAGTAAGTCTGAAGAAATGAAAATGTTCCTTCCAGTAATTTTTGCTGCTTGTCCCGCTCCACTCCCAACAATTTTCCTCTCCTTTGGTATTCAATAAATGTATACAGGAGACCAGCAATTTTCAACCTTTTTCATCTCATGGCACATTTAACTAATGACTAAAGTTCTGCATCACATCAAAAAGACATTTCTGGCCAATCTGACAAAAAAAAAATAGGTATGATTTTTATTCATTCACAACAGACAGCTATTGTGTTGGCTGCAATCATGTTTTCATTTTACAATCGAAGGGAAAAGAGGTCAGTGGCCCTGACTAAGTAGTCAGGTATTGCATGTTTTGAAATTCTTGCAGCACACCTATTGAAAGTTGCTGCAAAAGACCATAATAGAGTAAAATCAACAGTATTACTCACTGATAGGTTATCTTACTTTTCTGTTTGGTTATAGTTGGAGAACTTGAACAATGAAAATAGAAGTATGCGCAGATAAGAATTCTCCTTATAGGCATGAATTATCTTACTAACTAGATATTAATAAGTATACAAATGTGAAGACATTAATGGACTGCTATGTATAGCTTGAAGACTCAGGTAATTCTGTGGATAATTTTGAAAACACTTGTGAGGATTCATGGAAGAATTTGGAACTAGATAGCTAACTTGTTAATGCTTGTTACATTCTCTACGAGGTCTTCTTTTATATGTTTGAAAACTGGCCACTAAAAATTAGGATGTTAATTAGCTAACCTTGATACTTCTGGGCCCATGATAGGCATAGCATGCACCTAATTCAGTGTACTTATCAATTAAATGAAAACTAAAGCTTCTTCTTAAAAATAATGAATATGTAACAAAACAAACAAACAAAAAGCACACAGAAATGATTGAAACAATGAGAGCTTTAAAAAAATACTGTGAGGCCTTCAGCACTTACGCTTTGTCTCTTTGCTTCAAAGAACTTTAAAAACAAGAAACAATATAATATTTGTTTGAAGAGAATGATGCTTATTACTCTCATTTATTATCCTCTCTATTAAACACATGGGTCAGATTCCCTTTGGGCAGTGTTTCCAGTTTCCAAAGTCATTGCTCCACTTTTACTACTAAGTACTAATAGCTAGAGTTTTTGTTTTGTTTTGTTTTGTTTGTTTTATGGTTTGTTTACTTTTAGTATTGCCACCAGACACAAAGAGCACTTTTGCTCTAGAGAAATTTAATTCTAAAGATAAAGAAACAAACTTGAGACATTTCAAGACTGAGTGATATAGCTATTTCACTCAAGTAATATGCTAAAATGTTATAAAGATTAGTTCATTTTATTCCTAAAACAGGTCTGCAATTTTGGTATTATTTTTCTTATTTTACAGATGATAGAAAAGCCTTAAGAAACTAATGACCTTATTACAAAGCTAATAAGCAATAAAGCAAGGACATTGATCCACTTCATCATACTGATCATTTATTGATTACCTACTATGTGTCAGTCACTCACCACACTGCATTTTTTAATACCCCACAAAATAGTCTTTAATAGACCCATTTTATAGTTGTGGAAATTGAGATTAAGGAAGGTCAGTTATGTGATTTCTTCAGTGCCACCATGTCTCTGAGAGGTGCATAGGAACAAAGATTTTCAATTCAGAGTTTGGTTTCTACTCCAAGCATTATTCATCCACCAGTCATTAACATACTTAGTTATTCTCACACTTCATCTTATTCCCAGTCCCTGGGAGGTAATTATTCGTCCCCTGTGATCATTACAAATAACTTGATATACAATTACCTATGCTTTGGACTGTTTGAGTTTATTGAAATATCTCCAAATGCCCTGGGATATAAGCTCCCACTTTTAACTAACACATCATTAGTGATTATTAATGTGAGAGCAGAAGTGGCCATTTCAATACACACAGCTTCAGTGACCTTGAAATTACCAAAGCAAAAACTCATAGATCCCAACTACCAAAGCAGCCATGGATCTGCTAAGAGCAGCTCTGATCACAGCCAGAGGAGTCCTGGCAGGGTTTTTTTGTTTTGTTTTGTTTTTTTCTGATATACGATATGGCAGTTCAAGACACTACATTTTTGAGTTAACTTATTTAGCTCTTCCATGTTCCAAATTTAACTTCTGGTTTTAATTTAAAATCATCATAAACTATTTATAACTTATCAGTAAAATGTACATTTACAGAAAGTCAATTCTAGGTCATAGAAACATTCTTCAGTTTTGTTTTAGGAGGAAAAATGAGTCCAGAGCATCAATATAAAACACCATTAAATATGTGCACACACCCTCCTCCTCATTCCCTGAATCCCAAAATGGAGAATTTTCCTTCTCCCCTCAGTTTATATATTTTATAGTAGGTCCAACTTTAAGTTAACTTTTTGTAAAGACTTATTGGATTCAACACAGCCTCTCTGTCAAGTTAGCTTCTTATTGGAATTTGATGTAAATCACTTTTCATCCATGGCTGACAATTATGTGAAATCTTAAAACTGAACTAGGTATGTGACTAGCTGGGAAATAAATGTTTTTATTATTTTTTTAACTGACAGACAGGTGTGCATTATTCTTCCAACATTTCACAATGAGGTCAGAAGAAAAATACTATGGTGTATATATATTTTGTCAACACTAAACTAAAGCTGTTCTCGATTTTTAAAAACCAATCCCACACTCTGCATCACAGAACTTCGGTTTTTTAAATTCAAAAATTAATGAGGATGGAAAGCAGAATCACAAAGAGCAGATTATAACATTCCTCAGGATTTTTATTTTTTTAAAAATGAACCAAGGATAAAAGATACACAAATTTTGGTAAAATACCTGTTTGGGTGGCTTCAGAGGTGATGAAGTAAGGATCATGTTATCTGTTTATACAGAGGAAACTTCCAGGGCCATACGTGTCAAGGACTGGGCAAAGGAATGGGACATTTGTGGGGAAAATTGTTTACTTCTTATAGACCAGGTAGTCTATTGGGAAGACAGACATGAATAAATGATCATGAAATAAATAATTGAATATAACTCAGAGAGTGTAGAGAAAAGTTCAGGAACCTGTGAGGACATATAAAGGGTAAGCCTGACCAGGCTGGTTTGGGGAGAATCTATGCAGACCTAGGGTGGTCTTCTCTGAGGAAGTTTTATGGGAATGGAGCAGCCAGCCAGATGACAGGGAGTGGGGAGTGAGGGCACACATTCTCCAGTGACTTTGTGGCACACTGACAAAGGCACAGTTCATTTAAGTGGCATCTCCAGATCCACGGGGACCTATTTTGGATTCTTCCAAAATTAGGTGTAGTCATGCATTGCATAACGTCTCAGTCAACGACCATCCATATATGCGACGGTGGTCCCATAAGACTATAATGGACCTGAATTTCCTATAAGAAATGGAAGGCTACATGGTGCAGGAGGAACTTTTTCTCTCTTATGTGAGCAATATTTATGGGGGTTGGCAATAGATTCCTTCTCACTCACGGCACCTCAATTTTGAGTACTCAGATTACATCCCAGTCAGTCAGTCACTGACGTGTGTCAGCACAGAGAAGCCTGTCCTACCAGCACGGGGTATTCAGAGGGCACTAAAGCCTTCCCAGATCTAGCTTGCTGGTCTTCAGGATATACTTCCGGAAATTCTTTGTTGAGGACCTAAGATCCTAAACAGGAACACAGGTCCATGGAGATACCTTAACGAGCATCAAGTGCCATTGTCACTTTAGAGAGCATTCTGTGGTTGAGTGGAGCCAGCCTGTCCCTGGACTTTGGATGTATTTTCAGACTATAATAATGTAAAACATAAGTAAGCTCTATTTCTTCCATCAATTCAAGGCCAGAAAGAGCTCTTTGTGCCAATAAGTGCAATGTAACCAAAACAAATTTCTGGAGTCAAAATATTGAGTCCTCAGTTCTACACCCTTCCCGTGTTAAACACCCTCTTTTTATTTTTTTTAGGAAAAAACATCCAATGTTATTTTGACCCAAGTAGTGCTCTAACAGTGCAATAGATAAACATCACATTGCCATGACACGCCCCTATGTCCCTTTATCTCTCCATGTTGATAAATTATTCCTACTGTTCCTCAGCACCTTTCACTGCCTCCTCAGTCAGTATTACGGGGATCTATGCCTTACCTGGCCAGTTTCTCCTAAATATTCTCCAGCAATCCAGCCCACTCCCTGTTCATGAAGCAGCATTGACAGCTTTGGTGTTCCACTTCTGATCTTGTCTGTAGGAAGCAGGGGGAAAGGCTTGTAGGACAGTGATTATAAAATCCACAGCCGTGTTCAGTGATGTGCTAAGCCAGCGGTCAGCAAACTCATTAGTCAACAGAGCCAAATATCAACAGTTCAACGATTGAAATTTCTTTTGAGAGCCAAATTTTTTAAACTTAAACCTCTTCTAACACCACTTCTTCAAAATAGACTCGCCCAGGCTATGGTATTTTGTGGAAGAGCCACACGCAAGGGGCCAAAGAGCAGCATGTGGCTCACGAGCTGTAGTTTGCAGACTACAGTGCTAGACCTTCACCATCTCTCACCATCACCCAGAGCAACTTCCAGTCCTGCAAACCCCAATCGTGGTAACTGCCCTATATAAGCGAATCACATTTTGAATCTTTTATACTGTATTTTTAATTTACCATTTCTGTGTTTGGATATGTTTAGATACACTGATCCTTACCATGTGTTACAGTTGTGAACAGACTAGTAGCCTAAGAGCGGTGGGCAATCCCATATAGTCTAAGGGTGTGTGGGCTTTATCATCTAAGTTTGTGTAAGTGCTCTGTGATGTTTGCACAGCAATAACATTGCCTAATGACACAGTTCTCACAGCACAACCCGGTCGTTGAGCGACTCAGGATTGAATATAAAAATCATGACTACAGAAAAAAAAACAACTGGCCTAAATTTCATCAGCACTCTTTTACCCTTGGTCGTTATATTTTAACTAAATATATAATTTGTTCAGTCTTTTTCATTCATGCCATGAGGATTGATTTGGCTTGAAAGATTTTTCACTTAAATTGTTTGACTTGCTCATTCTCCCAGTGGAGGGCACAACTCACTCCCCACTTTGCATTGTTCTTGCCAACTCTTCCTCACAGGGAGTCTCCAGCCTCTGCCAAGATGTAGCCCCAGTTCCCTATGAAGACCAGCATCCTCCTCCCCTTGCCAAGACTCTTCTTTTCCCTTGTGGTGAACACTCTAATGGGAGCTTTTTCTTGACTGCCCCCAATAAAAAGCATAAAACCCAAAGAAAGGAAAGTGGCCTTTTGTGCAAATAGGCCACACCTATCACATTTTACATCCCAAGGCTATTAATGCGACTGGAATTTGCCAGTGTAAATATAGATTTTATTAAACTGGAAATAGGAACCTTGATAAATGATACTTGATCCCCGGCATGAACAAGGGTTTATATGTTCCTGTCAATGAAAGACATTAAGATGATTACAAAAAGAAAAAAATTTGATTCACATTGCAAAACATTCATTTGGCTTAGAATAAGAACACAAATGTTTTATTTGGGGTTGCTTCAATCTGACATGTTTAACACTTATTTGTATACTCATCTTAATAGCATGTGAGGGGTAGAAAATGTATATGACTTATTCCAAAATGCCTCTAATTACTTCCCAAACTAAGCGTAATAACAAAATTCATTTTCTTTCTGGTACTATGGGGATTTATAGTCCTTGATTCAATTATATTACATTGGCTTATTTAAAACTGGGATAAAATAGAGATGTAGATCATCTCCATAATTTTAAATGATAACAAAGATGGAGGAACATTTCTTTAATAGCTGTTTAATTTATTAAGCATTACCAAATAATTTTAAAAGATGTTTGTCATGATCTTCCAGACTGACCTCCAATCAATGTTTCCTGGAAATCCAGTTTAAGTTTCCAAACTTCAGTTTAAGGAGTGTGATCGCATTTAACGTTTTTACTTCCGTTCCCACACTTTCTGCCCTTTGAATTTCTAACAAGAATTAACTTCTCTTGAAAATTTTTTTTTCAAAAAGGGGCTTTATGCAAGGTTTGTTAGATTTCACCAAAGTGCCCAGACCTCATAAACTAGAAAGAAGCCCCTCTGTGCGGTAATCTTTTGGCAAACCAGTGGCAACCACCTGAAGCAAGTTGTAATTTAAACTGAACAGATTTGGAAGACCTTGGCTTTTACCTAACTCTTGAAACAAATCAGACATCCCTGAAGGTTGCTCGTTTTTCAGATGGAGTCTTTTATAGTTGTATGGTTCACATCTATTGTGTTTCCTGGAACTAGACTGAGATATATGAAAATACGACAAGAAACACTTTTATTTGTGATACTTTCAATCCAATTGGCAGCAGAAAGTAAAGACACATCATAGGAAAATCTATCCTTATGAGGTTTCCAGCACAACTTTTCATCCTTCAGAAAAACCCAGAGAAACATTCAAACTGGACCCTCTAACTGTGATGCTGTGTCCTCTGCCACTTTTGTCTACTCTTTATCCTTTAATAGGTAGGTGGGTTATTACACAATAGGGAGCCTCAAAAATCATTGCAACCAAAAAAAAATAGATTTTAAAAATTCAATAC